ATCAGACATTTTTTCGTACACTTCGCGCTTTTTCGATTGCTAGAAGTGAAGGAAAAATGATTGGGGTGAAATTGCAAACTCTGCCCCTAATTGTTCTGGGTTCCTTCCACATGTGCACTCACAATGTCTATGCATTGAGAAGTGACCATGTATTTGTGTCGTTGTAGTTGCACTCGCTGTCAAAAAAAAAGGACTTCACTGTTGAAGTCGAAATAGAATCATGAGACAACCCGTCACTTGGTACAAAGTTGATTTTTTTTTATATTTTACACTGCGGGTATTTTTGTATCGCTTTTTAGGCTGCGTTCATACTGATCCCGAAGAGATCAAGACTTGAAAGTAACTCAAATCTTTCAGATCTACATTTGCTTCAAGTGGTCGTTATTGTGGTCATTGGCTTGGTGACAATTCTGCTACATGGGCTGACCTTCGTTCGGCTGTAATAGGAGCACAGGAATTTAATCTTTTCGGTATACCGTATGTCACAGCATTCGGACTCGATAGGCCTAAAAATGTGTAAATGGAAGAACAGAATGCTTTATTCAGATATATCGGCTCTGATATCTGTGGATTCAACCGAGAGACTGAGGAAGAACTGTGTCTTAGATGGCATCAACTAGGAGCATTCCATACATTTATGAGGTCACAATTTTTCCAACTTGGAATCTAACATATGAAAATTTTTTCCTTTACTTCAGAAACCATAATGCTCGCACCATGCCCCCACAAGACCCGGCACAGTGGAAGTCCGTGGCAAACGCGACTAGGAAAGCCACCCTGTTCCGCTACAGCTACTTACCTTACCTCTTCAGGTACGGCTTAGGTATCGAAGAGGAATGGTAGATCGAAAGGCTGTCTTCCTTCTTTCAGTTTGCATTTCGAAGCCTCGATGCGTGGAGGAACTGTCATTCGCCCTATTTTCTACGAATTTCCCACGGATAACAAAACGCACGACCTCAGCTATCAGTTCCTCTGGGGTAGCTCTATGCTTATCGCCCCAGTAGTGCACAAGGTTAATTTTTTTCGATTTTTTGAACTTTTGTCTAGTCTAGTAATTCCAGGGAGCACAGAATGTGCAGTTCTACTTACCTAAAGATGATTGGTACTCCGTGTCTGATCACAAGTACGGGCAACTTATATGGGATGGTGATCAAACATTCCCCGCTCCATGGGATTCATTGATTCCAGTGTTCGTCAGAGGTGAGAAGAGCGGCCAGGTCGTGCTTTTGAGGGAAGGTAAACGGGG